CGATATTTATATAAACTGTTGTCCCTTTCATCCTATTGTTGAAAGTCACGTTATTCGATATTTATTTAAACTATTACCCCTTTTATCTTATTGTTGAAAGTCACGTTATTCGATATTTATTTAAACTATTGCCACTTTTTATCTTTTTGTTGAAAGTCACGTTATTCGATATTTATTTAAACTGTTGTCCCTTTCATCCTATTGTTAAAAGTCACGTTATTCGATATTTATTTAAACTATTGCCCCTTTTTATCTTATTGTTGAAAGTCACGTTCTTTGATATTTATTTAAACTGTTGTCCCTTTCATCCTATTGTTAAAAGTCACGTTATTCGATGTTTATTTAAACTGTTGTCTCTATCATCCTATTGTTAAAAGTCACGTTATTCGATATTTATTTAAACTATTACCCCTTTTTATCTTATTGTTGAAAGTCACGTTATTCGATATTTATTTAAACTATTGCCACTTTTTATCTTTTTGTTGAAAGTCACGTTATTCGATATTTATTTAAACTGTTGTCCCTTTCATCCTATTGTTAAAAGTCACGTTATTCGATATTTATTTAAACTATTGCCCCTTTTTATCTTATTGTTGAAAGTCACGTTCTTTGATATTTATTTAAACTATTGTCCCTTTCATCCTATTGTTAAAAGTCACGTTATTCGATATTTATTTAAACTATTGCCACTTTTTATCTTATTGTTGAAAGTCACGTTCTTTGATATTTATTTAAACTGTTGTCCCTTTCATCCTATTGTTAAAAGTCACGTTATTCGATTTTGATTTAAACTATTACCCCTTTTTATCTTATTGTTGAAAGTCACGTTATTCAATATTTATTTAAACTGTTGTCCCTTTCATCCTATTGTTAAAAGTCACGTTATTCGATATTTATTTAAACTGTTGTCCCTTTCATCCTTTGTTAAAAGTCACGTTATTCGATATTTATTTAAACTGTTGTCCCTTTCATCCTATTGTTAAATATCACGTTATTCGATATTTATTTAAACTGTTGTCTCTTTCATCCTCTTGTTGAAAGTCACGTTATTCGATATTTATTTAAACTATTGCCTCTTTTCATCCTATTTCTAAAGTTTACCTTC